TTGTGAGAAGTTGAGCAGGCTTATTACAAATTAAGTATCCGGATGCTTGAACTGATGAGCAGGAAATGAGGCTGTTAATACTCAGAGGAATGAAATCGAGACGTATTTTTTTTTTTTTTTAGTAGAATTTTGGGCCGAGTGGCCTCTTTCTGTCCTTCCTTTCCCTGTGTCCTTCCAGTCTCCATGGAAACCCCAAATCAATGCAGCATATGTTGATTCATGTTTCTGCCGTTACTAGGAAGCTACGAAGTGGAAATTGCTTTTAAAAGATTTGTGGAAGAGCTTTAGCATGCTGACCAGAATTCAAATCTAATATCTGAATGACTGTTTTATTAAAAGCTTTTAATATGCTACTGTCTTAGGTGGTATGTTGATTAAATAAACACACAGCAGGCGTTTGGCAATAAACCTGCACCTCTATAACATGGCTTTTAAAAATATTATATTGCAGACTTTAATTCCCTTTATCTTCAATTTAATTACATTTTTGTGGCCTGTGTGACAATGCCAGGTGCTCCTTTTCCTCTTGATTAATTCCACCCTGCCCTGACCAGGCTGTGGGGAACAATAGTTTGCAAATGCCTTAGGTACCCATGCGGCTGCCCCTGAGAGTCATTAGCATTAGACCGATTTCAGATTTGACCCGGAGACTGCAGAAGTCTAAAGTGCCTCCGCCATAAGGAATCCTCGGTGATTTTTCAGATTTTTTTCATGAACTCAAAATCAAATGCAGCTGACATTTATTAAACACTTGCTTCATACGAGGCAATGAAAATTGATAGCAAGGGGAGTAAGTCAGAGAGTCTGTCTTTGTGGGACACGTAGTCATTTGGGAGGATCAGAAAACAAATCACAAGGATAAACTACAGACTATGTTACGGGCTGTCAGAGAGTCACACAGCAATGTGGTGGTGGTGTTAGGATGGAGGAATTCCTTCTGATTGAGGCCGTTGTGAAAAGCTCTGGAAAGGGGAATTTTTATCTTGCAGGTATTAGGTTTAGAGAAGGAACTGGGAGTTAAGAGGCAGATCCGGGGGCAAGGGTGGGGAACATTCTGGGCAGAGGGGGCAGCAGAGGAATCAGGCCTGTGTGTGTGCATGTGTGTATGCACAACGGGATATAAGCCTGGATAGGTAAATGGGACTGAATTGTTAGAATGTCAGGCAGGACAAATCGCTACCATGAAGCCCATCAAAATTACTATACAGACCATTTATGGTACCTGTTCAGTGGGTAACTGGTAGTAGTGTAGCGTGCCAGGAGGTTTATGGGGAATGGGGGAGGCAATGACATGGGGGCAGGAAGCTCAGTTACTTAGGACACGGTGGAAGAGGCATGCGCCGTGGTGGGTGCCCAATAACCTCTGAATGGCGGTGTCAATGGATGGGGTGGATAAAGTTGAGAAATATTTCAGAAATATAATGAGAAGTGTTAAAAATCAATTCAACAAGGCAAAAGAGAAAAAGAAGCCAGAGATACCTATACGTATTACCTCGAGGGGCTAGGACAGAGTTATTTTATTAGCAAGCATAGGGGGCCCGGCAGGAAGGAAGGATTTGGAGGCAAAGGTGGTTGTTTCTGACACAGTTACATCTGCAGAGTCTGAGAGGGATGGAGTTATCTAGCTGTCCTCTGGGAAAGCCAGTCTGGAGCTCATGAGAGGCAGGACTGAGCACCAATGCCAGAGAGATGCAGCGGCGCAGGCCCGGGAAGGTTGGATTTCCCAAGAGGAGCAAACGGAGAATGGGAAGAGCTGAGAGGTGCAGGGCAGCCTGAGAAGCCAGAGCAGGGCTTGTAATGCCTGTTTTCCTGGGAAAAACCAAATGTCGCTGCCAGCGGAGACGTGCTGTGCCCAGTCTCCGGCCAGAAACTCAGGAGCAGCAACCAGAAAAGAATCCAGAGCTCTCTATTCCTGGGCCAGGGCTATAAGCCCTGGGACACAGAGTCCAAGTAGGTGCGTGCCTTTCTCACTAGTACTCCAGCCTGCTTGCCTTTGCCTATCTCTCTCCTTCAGGAAAGGAGACCATGCCAGAATGCTTACCCCCTCGGTTCTGCTTAATTCTCTCCCCCCCCACCCCAGCCCCTGTAATTCTTTATGCACCTGCCTCTACAGAAAGGAAGATTTAACATAGAGGCCTCCCCTGAGAGGGGGCCTGTACTAGGTCTGTGCTTCTCAAACTAGGGTGCTGTGTGGTTATGCTTTGGTGTTCAGGAGTGTTTTGGTTTAAAAAAAATTTTGATTTTTTTCTTTTTACTCCTGCTAGATGCATGTCCACATACTCTTATCCCTCGGCTCTTTATATTCCTGCTCTTTCTTAAAACGTTAGTAATAATTATATCTTTCCTTAAACATTTGGGTTGGCTTATTGACTTCCTAGGACTGTATTATTTCTCCAAAGGCTAATTGAAGATTCTGATGCCTAGTTAATATTAGTCAGCCCCCACCTGAGACTTGGGCCCTTCCACAGCCCTGCCCTATCTCCTCAGTGCCTTTAAATCCTGGATGCCAAATGGGGCAGCATGAGACTCGGAGGGGGCCTTTATTTCACTATTTTAGCACTGAACGAGGAGTCCCGTGATGATACCACCTTTGTGTTAAAGCAAGGGGCAGAGCAAGGGTTGGGAACAGGAAGCTTGGTATCAGGCACCAGCTCTGCCGCTTGTAACTAATTTGTCTCTGTTTCTCCATCTGTAAAATGGGGATGATAAAGATGTCAGCCTTTTAAGTTTGTTGAGAGAGTTACCAGTAGCGCAAAGTTTAGCCCAGTACCTGGCACATACCGAGGGCTTGTTGGATAATGGCTGTGTGCATGGAATCTGGGAGGCTCCATCTTACCGTATAACCTAATCTTGGATTAGGGAAGTGCTTATCACTGGGCTTTTATTCCCAGTTTATCTGTGAACCTGTTTGGTATGGGGCAGTGTATCAAGAATATGTCCAGAAGCAAAGGATTCTCTTTATGCTTCAATTCTAAACCCTGGCTAGCACTGGTGTTCAACGCAGGGAAACATTTCTTTTGCGTCTCATTTCATAACACTAAGTTCCCTTTACCTAACAGAGGCACACTGTGGACATTTTGCGAGAGAGACAATGAGTCACTGTGGAGGCAGCATCAGACTTTTTATTTCATCCTCTCGTCAGGCAACGTGGGGTTGCAGCAGACTCATGTCACTGTGAGAATACAGGGTATGCTACCAATAGATCTGCCAGGAATTCTGGGTCCCGGCATGACGTGGTGGGAAGAGCTCTGCTATAAGAGTGCTAAGAAAACAAGTCTGGTCATTGAGTTGCCTCAAGTTTCTCCTCTGTAACTCGGGGATAATAATATTCTCTCTAGCTATGGAATAGGGTTGTTGAGTAACAATACATGAACATGTTTCTACATTATAGAAGGTTAAACAAATGCAATCTAATATTTTTAGTACCAAGCCATCACTTTCCATAGAGTTTTCTGCTGCCTCCAGCAAATGCCGCCTTCCGGGTGTCCAAAATGACTTATGGTAAAGGCTAGGTGAATTTGGAGCTAGTTCCTGAGTGGGAGCAGGAGACTGGAGTGGAATGGGGAGAAGGGAAGCTTTGTCCCAGGGCAGTGGTTTGCAAACTTTAGCATGCATCAGAATCACCTGGGAGGCTGGGCTCCATCCCCTGAGTACGATTCTATAGGTCTGGGGGTGGGGCCTGAGAGTTTGCATTTCTAACACATTCCCAGGGGATGCTGACGCTGCAGGTCCAAGGACCATACTCGGAGAACTACTGTACTAGGGCAAGCAGCAAGCGACAGTCCTCCTTCTGGAACTGAAACAGGCAGTGTGAAGATCTATGTGGGTAAGGTCGTTTGGAAGAAACAATTGCAGAAGACAGAAAAATTAGGGATAATGTGCCGATTGGGCAGAACAAAGGGAAAAGTCTCACTCCATAACAAATGCAAACAGGGGGAAGTCGCTAGGTGATGGATGAGGGAGAGAGGTGAATTTCCACTGTAGGAAAAACCAGGAGCACAGAGTTGGAAATCTACATGTTTTGAGGAGGCAGAGGAGGTGGAAATTTCTCATTAAGAAGTGAGGAGTGGTGTGTTTGGTGCTGGGGGGTGGGAGTAGAGATAGACTGGGGGAGAAATGCCTCTGTCGAGTAAGGGGGACAGTTGAGATGTGGCAGAGGGGGTAATTTCAGGGCTGTGTGGTTTGGCTTGGTAGTGAAGCACAATAGAAATTGGGAGAAAGGGGGTGGAATTTAGATGTGTGACCTGCCCCGTAGCTTTCTTGCTCTCTGCATTTATCACATCACATCACACCCAGCAAGACAGCCCCCCTCCTCCTGGCTCATTAGGAGATTTGATTCGGCTTGGCTCCTGCTGTCAGCAGCTGTCTGGGGCAAGATCTTTATGCTCCCTGCTCCCTGAGCAGCAACCAGCCTTCAGCCAGCAGCAGAGCTCATTAGAAGAGGCCCCCCTGGACACTTGGTTTTCAGCTCGTTGGTGGCCAGAAAGAGTTAATACCGACGGCTTCGCTGCCCCCTGCCCAGCCTCTGGGTGCAGAGGGAGGCAGGTTTGGGCTGTGGGGACTTCTCCCGGAGCTGCAGCCAGAGCAGCAAGGAAGCAGGTTAGTGAAGAGGAAGGTACGGGAGGAGTGCCAGGCGAGCTCTGCTCAGGGGCACCTCCTGCATCCTGCCAATGAGGATGGGCGTGCAGACTGTGCCCGGGAGCGGAGCCGCCGCCCGCTGGGTGTAGGCTGCTTCAGTATTTACTGGATGTGACAAGCAGAGAGAAGAGCTTTCAGCGGGGCCCGCTTGCTGCCCGGCTGAAGTGGTGGGAGGTGTGTTGTGCATGCATGCGTGTGTGTGTGTGTGTGTGCACGCACGACTGTGCCTGTGCATTCATGCACACATGTTCTTCACCCATCAAGGATCTGACTGCTAAAAGAAAGATCTACTCTTTCCCCAGAACTCCTTAACCCACAGCCTCTCTGACCACCCTGTTGGCAAAGACCCGCAGGCCATGAGGACTGGTCAAAGACAGTGAGTATTGCTTTTGCTTTTCTCTTTCCTCTTCAAAGTGCCCATGTGGGCTGATTGCATTATCCATATTTAATTAACCTGCCTCTCCATGCATATTGATTGCTTTCTCCCCGCTGAGACTCTTAGTTTCTCTTCCCCTCTTTAAAAATCGCTGCTCTTTGCTTTTAACCTTTGTTTTTTTTTTCCTTGAGTTCCCTCTTTCCATTATGTCCCATCCTGTCTGCCCCAGAGTCACCTGTCACTTGATGTCCACCTAACAGGGCACATTGCCATGGGCCTTCTTGGGCCCTGGGGACCCCAAACTCCATCCCCCAGAAGTCAAGGGCCAGATGGAATTAGAGCCCCAAGGTGCTGGGATGAATGAGGAAGCTGGGGCCAGAGCCTCCTGCAGATTCTGATTGAATTGAAGTCAAGGCTAAGTGAAGGGAGGGTGGAAGGTCTGAGGGGCAGTGGTGGGCAGTGCTGGATTTGGGAGGGAGAGAGGCAGGCATGGAAGCAGTCCCGGCAAGCCAGGGTGAGCTAGCAGTGCGAACGGGAAGAGCGACAAGGCAGTGACTGCAGGTCTGGTAATACCTGCCCCAAATGACCTTGCCTGCTCTGTCCGTGGGGGAGTCATCCTTGGTTCTGTTCAGCACCAGCGTAATGAAGGCCCCCGGCACGGGTTTCCCCTCCTCTGGCCGGTAGACCATAAGCAAGAGAAGATGAGGCATAGGTGCCCCAAACAGTGATTTCTCACAGCTGGAAGAGAACCTTAAACCTGGGAAGGGCTTCGATTTCCTGACTCCTGGGCAGGCAAGTAGATGCACCTTTAGGACAAAGATTAAGGAATTGTTCCTACTGTTAAGGGAACACAGTCTAAGCCCAGTCTCCTGGAGGATGAGCTTTGATACAAAGTCTAGCTATTTTTTTTTTTTTTTTAGTTTTAACAAAGCAATCTTTTAATTTTATGAATTTTGGTATTATTAGAGAAGGTGTTTTTTTTTTTTAAAAAAGTATTTGTGAAATATTCCATGTAATACCAAAATAATTTAAACGGAGTAGATCCAATAGGGGCCTTATCTATCTAAATTAGGTTTCTTTTAAAATGGATTCTATGTTTGGTGTCAGGGTTCCCCAGGGAAGCCCTTTACGGATAGGCTGCTCTCTTCACGTGATTCTTCCTATCATTTCTGTGGGAACAAAGGGTTTGAAGCACTGAGACGGGGACCCTCAGGAGAGAGAGATGATCAGTCAACAAGCCCTCAACCTCAGTATCCCCTTTCCAGACTTTCCCGCTTTGGGTCTGGAATGGGCCAGTCCCAGGCTGAGGAAGGTCGGGTGGCCTCCATCTGGGCAAGAGAGAGTGGCTTGCATATTCATTTCTTCAGCTTGTGCCTGCGATCCTGCAAAGGAGCAGGCCTGTGCGGTGACAGGGGCCTGACAAGTCTCCCTTGGAGTTACTCCACCCTCCCCCCTGCTCACACCCTCCCAAAGCTCCAGGACTCCAGGACGGGTTCCCCGAGAGGCAGGCCAGGATCGGAAGAGCAGCCAATCAAGGAATTCTGGAGCAAGTGCTGACCCCCCCCTTTCCCCCATCCCTGGCTGGCTGGTCACTTGGGCCCCACTGCAAAAAGACAAAGAGAACAGTAATTTTTGGCCTGCCAGGCCGAGCCTTCCTCCCCTGGGGCAATATGCCCCACTTCACGGTCATGGCCAGTGTTTGGAGAAATAGGAGTTCCTGACCAGCAGGCAGCAATGCGAATCCAGCCAGCAATTTGTCCCGGGTCATCCGTAGCTGGTCGCCCTTTGTCAGGACAAGCAGGCATTTGTGGGGAAGGGGCTGTGCAGGGGGAGGCCCTCTGTCAGAGGAAAGCCATCCAAGAGGATTTGTAGCACAGTCAGATAAGAGAGGGCCCCTCCCCTCTTACAGCAGATTCTTTGATTTTAGGTGAGAGGACGTGAAAGGGTAAATCCCTGTGCCCCGCAGTCCTATCTCCCGCCCTGACGTCCCTGCACACCGGCCAGAGGGTTAACCGTAAGCGTGTGCCTGTATGGCCGCTTTACTGATGCCACGCAGGTAATGATGCTCACCTGTCTCCCTGCCCCTGCCCTTCCCCCCTCTCTGCCCCTTCCCACCCCCTGCCGTGTGAGCCTGCCCCAGCCTCCCATGGGTGGTCCGTCCCCTCAGGCCATTGGTGTGGACGGTGCTCTTCTTCCTGGGACTCTTCTTGCAAAGTCGTGGCCTTGCAAGCCGGACCTACCACAGTGCCATTGAGGGGCGGGACTCATGGGGTGGGACTGTGCATGAGCTTGCATCAAACTATTTAGGGACCTCTATAGGGTCCTGGCACAGGAAAGAAAGACAAGGGAAAGCTTACTTCTTTTTACTTTTGTTTCCTCCTTCCCTCCCTCCCTCCCTCCCTCCCTCCCTCCCTCCCTCCTTCCTCCTTCTTCCCTCCCTCCCTCCCCTTCCTCTTCCCTCCCTTCCTCCCTCCCTCCTCCCTCCTTCCCTCCCTCCCTCCCTCCCTCCTTTCTTCCTTTTTAAGTAATCTTAACCTTTGACTCTCACTTCTGCTTCCATTATTTCAAACCTAACTAACAAGGTTATAATTCAGATCTCAGCTAGACCAGATGGAAAATCAAAACCACTGGGCCCCAAAGAATATTTTGTGGAAGATTTTTGCAAACTACTGGGGAGAACCACTGTTGTCTCGGTAACGAGTATACCCTTTACATCTAAAGGGTTTAGCCCCTGCTAAACGTTGTTAGATGGCTTGTGTGGATTTGCCATTTTTTTGAAGTTCTCTTAATTGCTCTTGGGGGCATCGACCTGACTATTCTGTGATTGATGATCCTGGGGCACGGAGGAGTGAACTGACTCACTGGAAGTTGGGTTTTGGCCTTGGTGCAGCCCAAGCAAGACCTTTACTTGAATTCACGGGATGTGGTGACTCTAGGGTGCTTAATCAGTTGCTCACATGACCTGGGGTCAGAGCACCCTGTGATTTATAAGAGTGAGTGGACATAGGATGCTCACCATCGCAGGAGAGAGAAGAGCAATTGCCAATGTTTTATGAAACGCCACAAAATCGATGGCTTCATCACGCGCCTGGCTGAGATAAGAGGTGGCAGCACAGGACGTGCAGGCCCAATTTTCTGCAGGAGAGGGGATATTTCTGGGAACTTGGATGTTCCAGCTTTAAAAGGCTCTTGGAGATGGGCTGTGGAATACAAATGTTGTCCATCCTTGCCAAATATAATACCATCCCACTAGATTTGTTGGATAAGATTTCTGGGAATAACTAGCGTGGGTCAGGGATGGATGCCCATTTGGAGTGGAAGGAAGAGATTGAATTGGACGGCCTCTAGCGTCTCTGCCCAGGCCCTGGGATTCACAAATTAGGGGAAGGGAAAGCCACGCTAGAAGGACTTCCTTTCCACGTGGAGAATTACATCTCTGGGACTATTTCTGTGGCACATTGTTACCAGCGTGCATGTGGCAGTGCCCTTTTATAAGTCACTCTTTGGTCCTGATTGGATTACAGCCAACCCTTCCCACTTCCCTTTGCTCTCCATGTGAGGAGCTGCCATGGGTTAAAGGTCAGGGGTCAGTAAACTTACTCTGTCAGGGGCCAGAGAGTAAATATTTTGAGTTCTATGGGCCATAGAGTCTGTGTTGCAACCACCCAATTCGGCCCTGGTGCTCGAAAGCAGCTTTAGACAATATGTAAATAAATGGGTGTTGTTGTGTTCCAATAAAACTTTATTTACACAAACAGGCATCTCTCAGGGACACAGTTTGCTGATCTGTGGTTAAAGGTAAAAAGGGGCTAATGTTGGACGTTGGAGAGAGACACTAGTGTAATTTCTCATCGGACCTTCCATAACAGATAACATGTAAATGTCTGGTCCTTAGGAAAATAAAAAATATGAGAATTTTAAACATACATGCTAAAGTTTTAAACAGGTTGACTGAGAGAAGCCAAAATACAAATAGGAATATGAAAGCTTAGTTAAGTGACTAAAAGAACGGCGGAGAAAGGGGCCCCGGTTCTTAGCTGCTGGTTGTACCAGCTGCTCTGGCCCTCACCTGCAGGTGTTGGTCCTGGCTGGTCCGTAGCCATTCATGCATCTGTACCCCCAGGTTTGGGGGATGAGTGGGGAGCACCTGAGTCAGAATTAATTTGCCTGGAAGCTTCGTTTGTGCTTGGAGGTTCTGTGATACGCACCTCTCTATTATGCAAGCAACCGTCTACTCTCCGTGCGTGCGTGCGTGCGTGCGTGCACCTCTTCTGGGGCTTTGCAATTAGGAGCTGCGGCTGTCTTGCCCTCCTGTTGGGAGAGCAAAATGTGGATTGTTATTTTGTCTTCACTGTATTTCCTTTCCCTACAGAGAATCTTAATTTAGAAATTCTTCCAAGATAATGACCTTCATTGACTTACTATCAACTTGCATGTTAGCTTTGGGAAAGAGCATTAAGCCTCTAGGGGTAGGGTCCTTACTACTATGCCAGGAGTCAAGTTAGGGAGTGAGTATATATATCCCTTGATCTTCTAGGTATTTCTCCTCTTGTTCATGAAATCTTTAGGGACGCCCTGGGGAAGGATGGGGGGTCAGGGGAGGCAGTGCGGGCTCCTGCAGCAGAGTCCCTGGGGGCCCTTTATAGAGCTGACAGCTATGATCATGACAGTTTCCCGTCCTTCTGCCCCTGTGCTTGTTGCAGGAACAAAGGAATGAGGACCCGCCTGGGATGCCTGTCTCACAAGTCAGACTCGTGTAGCGATTTCACAGCTATTCTTCCCGACAAACCCAACCGTGCTCTAAAGTGAGTAGTTTGGCCACATGGCATTCCCAGGGTGCTCACCGTGGGGCGCCCACCACTGGGCTGTAGGACCTGTTCTCCTCTAGCGAGTTGTTGACCAGATGAGCCGAGGGACAATAAATCCCTGCCACTTGGCGGCTCCTTTTATATCCCTGAGGCATGGATGTGAATTTTCCTTTTCAGAATGTGTGACCTAACTCAGAATAGGGACCCTCTTTTTACTTTTAAGAAAACTGTATTATCCACCACTCTTATAAAGCTGTGGTGAAGGATGCTTCTTGGTTCTACTTAGTTGTCAGTCTGAGGTCTCAGTTTGGAAACAAACACTCAAATATATTCTAAAACTCTGCTTAGGTTCAGATAATTTGGATTCAGTGCCTATACTGGGCAACTACTGGTTTCAATGATGTCATAGATGTACCTCATTTAACCCTCACGGGGTTCGGGGATGTGGGCATCGTGATCCCCATTGCAGAGGCGAAGAGATTAAGGTCCTGGTAAAATATGGAGTCGGGAGCTCAGCGTACTTTTTCTGACGCTAAGGCTGATTTCTTTCCATTGTTATCCTGACAACTTTATATCCTGAGCTTATTTAGCTTGGTTTTTTAGACTGAAAGCCAATATACAAATACATTGAATTCCAGTACTGAAGTTTGCCATCAGTTAGTTAAGAATGTACACATTTACAGCAACAGACTTGCAGGAATCCAGGGGTGGTTTTCATTTGCACGCCCCCCCCCCCGCCCGCCATTGTTCTGATTTGTTTCCCCGAGCAAATCTCAGTGGTTGCTGATGGAGAAGGAGGGTCATTTCAGAAATACTCAAGAGAGATGTTTCTTCTTTCCTAGGAGACTATCCACAGAAGAAGCCACGAGGTGGGCAGATTCCTTTGACGTGCTTCTGTCCCATAAGTGTAAGTAGAATTCAGGTTTCGTCATGTTGCGGCAAATCATCCATTTAGCAAAAGAGGCACCAAATGCCCACCATGATCCAGGTACTATGCCGGGTGTCCCAGACAGCTCCAGTCCCTACGCTCACAGAGCCTCCTGCTTAGGGGAGTATACAGATAACAAGACGTAATTTAAATCTAGTGGGAAGAGGGCCTTCTTTTCTGTGTTCTGGGTTGAAAGGATGGTCCCAAGAAGCCTTCATGTTTTCAGCAGTTTTAGCAAGAAAGAATTTAGTTTAGGGAGTTGGAGTGATGGGCTCAGTGGGAATGACAGTCTAGTGTCCATCTTAGATCTTGTTTATAAAATTAAATGACCTTCCCCCCCAAGTCGCTGGAGAGTCTTGGTTTACTTATCCGTCAAATGAATATTCTGTGCATTTTGTTAGTCACTTGAGTTGGCAGAGTTTTGTGTTTTCTTGTTGTTTTTTATTTTGGGGGTTTACTACCCCGGCTGTATCACACTCCTCAGTTTCTGGCTGGGTGTGGGTTTTACTAGAATGCATTTCTGCTGTCTCTCCTCTTCTGTTTTCCCAAACCCACCACCCCCTCCAAATTGCAGAAATAATCATGCATATTTCCCTGTGGGAAGGACACCTTGACGCCGGCCAAACTTTTTAGCTCTTGCTTTTTTCTCATCACAAGCAAGTCCAAATTCATCGGGCTTTGAAATCCTAGTGCCATTGAAATACATGGGAGTGGGAGAGCAGGGGTGAGGAAGAGAGAAGGGTCTTTTGCAGAGAAAAGGTTTCACGCAGACTTTCAGTGCTCCTTTTAAATTCTTCCTGTCAATATTAGAAATCCTGATTGATCTGGGAGCAGAAGGGTTGTTTTCAGCTTGGAGTCTTGTTTCCACTTAATTGGGGAACATGATTCTGTACAATGAGGTTAAGGGCATTGGCTGGTAGTCAGACCTGTGTTCTTGATTTTGACCCAGCTCAGCTACTAGATAATTGAGTGGCCTTGATGGAGTCCCCCGATCTTCAGATGTCTTTAGAGGTGATTTTGCTTTCAGCTGGATGAGCACTTCCCTCTGACTAGGCCCCTGGTCCTAATAAACTAGTTACTAAATGCTCTTGAATAGATTTTAAAATGAAATGCAAAATCTAAGAATAAGCATATATTTGTAGCATGTAGTTTTGTGAGACAAATAGTCATTTTAGCGTTCTATGGATTACACTTAGGAAGGAAAATAAGGCAGCAGAGACACAGTGTGTGTGACATACGGCTTATGTCACAAACAGCAAGCTTATGTGGTGAATTTGCCAAGGTAATGGCATATGTGCAGTGATAGTTAGGATTTGACAGTAAGGCTTGTTCTTTCTGAGGCCATTTTGACTTGTTTTCTGGAGTCACAGTAGGCTAAACAAATGTCACTATTAACTTACACCTTCTTTTCTGGCTGCATTTGCTTCAAGGTCATCTTGGAGTTTGGTTTCTATTTCAGCCTCATGACTGACTCACTTAGTTCAAGTCCCTGAGGCTGTTTCCTCATTCCAAAATGGTGATAGAAATACCTGTGTGCTACCTGTCACCTGGGTCAGGGAATCTTCATAAGAGGACACCTTTAGATGATTTGGGGTTCTCTACTTAAAGGTGTTTTGAAAGAATATGGTGGTATTTTTTTTTTAAATGATGCTTTTATTTATTGAATGCAAAATAAACGTGCCTTAAGAATAGGTTTGCAAATTTCACCGCCAATTATTAATGCTGAGCGATTATAGACAGAGTTTATGGTGGTTCAATTAATGGATGCAATCTCAGTGTATATTTGGATTGCTGCAGTGGCAAGACCTGGAGATTTAAGAGCTTTCGTGTTATTTGATTCAATGACTTTTAGACCTGAAGATGTTTGCTTCTGCTTCTCTGGGGGATGGTTTCGGTTTCCAGGAATGCAGTTAACACTTTTCTGAGATGGGGATTCCACTAAGGGGTTACAAGCTGACACCAGATTGCTTCTTTGTCAGACCACTGCAGAATGAACTGTAAAGTTCTGTGATCCTTCTTGGAGTCTGATGTTCTGTTTTGATTTCTGTTTAGTACGGAAATAAAAAGCCAATGGAGTAAATGTCTTTGAGAAGAAAGAGGCCTGTATTCATGGGTCACTGGCAGAATTTCAAGGTTTTAGAGCTTGACCGACTCCTCCCTGGGAGGCCTCAGAGCCAGGTTACCTTGAAGGGTGTTGACAACTTTCTTAAAGTCTAATTAATTTGGGCTAATATTGTGACTCAATTAGGGCTGATTAAGCTTTTCCAAAGGGATTGCATGTGTGCTGGTCCCTTAGGAGGGACAGCAGTTGATCAGAGGTGTGCAGGGCTTTCAATTAAGATAGCAAAATGTCCTAAAAAGTAAAGAAAGGAGAATCACTGAATGAGCTTCCGGAAAAAAAAAAAAAGTGCATTAGTCTAGAAACCACCCCCCTGGTAATCCTCTATACCTAGGAAACTGTCCTCCCTGAGTTTTCTATTTTGGATAATTCAGATAATTATTTTTGTTCCCATTCTCAATTTATAGAGCATCTTTACCCTCCCTGCTCTGCCTGGCTGTTTTGGGCGCTCCCTTTATTTAAAGAAAGGTGTACTAAGTGTTCATGATGTTTGAAGTCTGTGCTAAGCAGCTGGTTGGGGGCGAGGGCACCAAGATGAACAGGACAGTACGTCTCTGGTGGAGAGTGCAGCCTTCGGAGACATGGACATGCATACAAATCACATAAGAAATAATAGTGTGCTGCCTACAGATGAGGGAGCTTCAAGATTTCAAATAGAATCCTGACGTTCGGTGTTCCTCTTCAATTCCATTCTGTCAGTATTAAAAGTCCTCACTGACCTGACAGCAGCAGGTCTGCTTTGGGTTTAGAGCATGGTTTCCACTTAATTGGAGAACATGCTTCTGTACAATTAAGTTACGAACATTAGCTGGTTGTCAGACCGGCGTAAGGACGATTTTAACTCACCCTTTGCTTCCAAATAGCTGGGTAGCCTTGACGGAATCCCTCAATCTCTTGGAAAATCTGGTTCTTCATCTGTGCACTGAAGGATCTGGAAGAGGATGTCTCAGACACTGGATCCAGTCCTACCTTCTTGTTCAAAGATGCTGAGACTGGGCCTTTAGCAAACACCTAGGGCAGGTGGCTCGAGTCAGCGCTGCTTGCAGGGTCATGTAAAACCCCTTCAAAGCTGAAATGGTTCAAGCAACCAAATGAGGGGCTAAAGCACCTGTGTTATGAGGCTTTCTCTCCTTGACAGGGTCCTGCTGTGTAGGCAGCACTTCTCAGGTTCAAACCTCAGGAAAAGAAGAAAGCAACTTTACTTTTTAAACTTAAGAGGGAAAAGAAATCTGGAAAGTAAATATTTGGAGCAGTTTGGTTTCCAGTCACATTTGCTTACAAGGATAAAGCCGAAGAAGCATGCATGGAGGTCTGGGGGATAGACACCTGCTGAGGGCTTTTTTTTTTTTTTTAAACTAAGAAATGAAAAATGAAATTGCTGATGACTTTATTAGCTAACAAAGGATTTCTTTTTTTTTTTTAAAGATTATTTATTTATTTATTTGACAGAGAGAGAGAGAGCACAAGCAGGGGGAGCGGCAGGCAGAGGGAGAGGGAGAAGCAGACTCCCCGCTGAGCAGGGAGCCAGACATGGGGCTCGGTCCCAGGACCCCGGGATCATGACCTGACCTGAAGGCAGACGCTTAACCAACTGAGCCACCCAGGCACCCCAGCGAAGGATTTCTTTACTTTATTTTATTTTTTATTTTATTATGTTAGTCACCATACATCATTAGTTTTTGATGTAGTGTTCCATGATTCATTGTTTGGGTATAACACCCAGTGCTCCATGCAGAATGTGCCCTCTTTAATACCCATCACCAGGCTAACCCATCCCCCCACCCCCCTCCCCTCTAGAACCCTCAGTTTGTTTCCAAAGGATTTCTAATATGGGTTAACTTGGCATCTTTTTCCTGCTCACTCAGGGACAGTTAGACTTAGTGTCTGTGAGCTGTGCACCTAGGCTGCCCCCGAGGGTGTGTGTGTGTGCATGTGTGTGTGTGTGCGCACACCCAGAAGACTTCCTGTCTCTGTAGCTCATACCCAGGAGAGTGAAGGCTCCCAGCTTGTGGGAGATTTTTTCTGATGGGTTGCGGGAGAGCGTGCACAAAACTGTATGTCTTCTGCTTTGATTTCCTCATGAGGTTCAGGCATATGCTTGTTATTTGTCCAGCTTTTAGTGGGACATTCAGTCCTGAGCTCTGAATCAGTTCAAACTCTGATTCTCCTTCCTTCCTTCCTTCTTTCCTTCCTCCTTCCTTCTTTTGTGGGATTTTTTTTTTTTTGGGACATAAAAGTTGGATTCATTCCAGTTTTAAGGGGACAGTGTAGACAGGGTTCCTTCTCCTTCCTCTTTTTTTTTTTCAGCCTGATCCCACACCTGAATAACAGAGCACCTCACCCTGGGCATCCATTTGGTCCTTGGCTTTGTTTCATTGTTTGCACAGAGTGTAGAGGGTCTATGCTGACCTGTCCCCGCCAGGCCCAGGGAATGCCAGGTTAGTGGACTAGTACAATTGAAAGCTCTTTTGCATTCACAAGAGTTAGTAACCATCTCTGCGAAAAGGAGACCAATAAAGAAGCTTTTAGTTTTTAAAAATTAGCCCCTTTGGGATAATGATTGAGATATAGGAAAATACAATGACCTGATCTGGTCACACAGCAACCAAGCAGAAAACCCCAAACAAGCAAAAACATGAAAGTTACGAGCTAATGAAATTCCTTAATTATTCATCCAAACGGTCCTTAGCTTTAGAATGTACAGTTTAACTATCCGGTTCCCATTTCTTGCCTCGCCCGCCCCACATCCTTCTCCAAGCCAAAAAATCCTCGAACCGTGTTACTCCAAGTGTGATCCAAGGAAGGCAGCACCAGCAGCTGCTGGGCTCTTGGAAGAGATGAAAATTCTGGACTTCTGTCT